AGCACGCTTTATTGGAGGTTCTTCTACATTCTTCAAGATGGTGGAAAGACCCCGAGCCGGATGCAAGCCTGCCTTTATATCCACCCGGGCGTCGTGGCCTGTTTCTATTGGTCAGTGCCAGCCTGCATCATTCTGACGAGCCAAGCGCCTCATCTGCGCAAGCACAAACCACCATCACCGGCGGACTCAAACCCGGAATTCATGTAGGGCATGAAGAACCCGGAAATAATGGCGCGTGACATCTCCCCCTTCCTTAAAATATCTAGAGCTCAGGAGGAGCCTGTCAGCCACCCCGGCCGGAAGGCGGCCGAAGCAGGTATTCCATGTGAGCAACTGTTGGATCACCTTGGCTCGTGCAATGAGGAGAACCTCTGAGCGGTGCAAAGGCTGATCAACAAGATTATAAAAGGACATGCCTGATTCTGGTGCAATGGACTAATCCACAGAGTGCAGAGGCCATGTCCAAGGAGGTGGAGAGATGTAGGTATTTGTGGCCTCTGAATGAGCAAGGCATAGGCAGATATTGACCAACGTTCAAGCTACTATTGTAAATTGGCCAACCAGACAGCAGGCGAGTATCCAGCTTCAAGGGCAGTGAAAGCTTGCATCAACATGATATTATCATTTTGTCTCTGTCGTCTCATCTTACATAACCACCAAAATCCCAAAAACACTGCCAAAGCCAACAAAGCAATCATTGATCCCATTCCAGCCCAATCCTTCAGAATAGATACAGCACTTGCAATCCAATCAGATATACCTTATGCAAAAACAATGCCTACTCGGGTAGAATTAACATGAGCAATGGCTACTCTCAATTGTCTAACCAATTGATCAAAACGTCCCGTCCAATTTGATGTCAAATATATAGAGAGTTCCTAGCTAACCATGGAATTAATGAAAGTGATTCACTTAGGCATTTAGATCTTGGATGCCAAAGTGAAAATATTTATATCCTCATATACTTAGTTGGAAAACAACTTATACCTTTTTTCATATTAATCAATGAAAATATAATCAAACACACACACACACATACATACACCTCTCTCAATGTGCTTAT